GGCAAGCACAAGGTACCAAATTCAATCCCAGGTATCAAAAAAAAAAAAAAAAAAAAAAAAAAAAGAGCAGTAACAAAATTACCTAAATAGTAAACAGAATCAGATGACAAACAGAGCCAAAGTTGGTCATTTAAAAAGAAGAAAAAGTAAAATGGGGTGATTCTTCTTACTGTTTCTTTTTTATGATATATTTTCTAAAATTATTCATATGGCACTGGGATCAGTGAGGCTTTGATGCAATAATTTTCAGGAGTGGTGGTGAACATGACTGGGTATAAGCATAGAAAAACAGCTCAATTTCATCAGAACAAAAGATATAATTTTCAGGCTGATAGTTCTTACCCTTACTTTACAAAAGAGTTGAGTTTCTTAGGTAATGTTCTCTAGCCTTTAACAACTTATTGGTCTAAAATTAAAAACTTCAGTAAATTAGAAAAAAATTAGCAATTTATCAAAATGAACTCAAACAGCCTGATAAACTTAATAGTTCTATGACCATACAAAAATTAAATCAACAATAAAGAATGTTTAAATAGCAAAAAGAAAGGAAATAGACCTTTCCTTTAAAGTACAATCTAGAGCCATGAGCTCAGTGGACTAAGTGCCTGGTTGGGCAAGTGTAGGGATGGGGTTCGATCACCGGCACCAAGTACTGCACTAGCCCTGCTCCCTGGCATACTGAGCCAGCCACCAAGACCCGACGTAGTGGCACACTCCTATAATCCCAGAGCTGAGGAGGCTGAAAGCAGAAGGATCACTATGAGTCTGAGCTGCATAGTGAGACCCTGGACCAAATACATTTTTTAAAAAAATTAAGTACAACCTAGTAAACATGTGAGATAGTTTTAATTTCACAAAATAATTTTATATAACAGGAAAGTAGGAAATACTCTCAGCATATTATATTCTTCTGGTGTAGATTTTCATATTAAACACATGATTAAGAGCAAGAACAGAAAAAAAACTCACTGAAATATACTAAGTTCCCAAATAAAATATTAGCAAATTATTTCCACTTATATGCAGGAGACAGAAAACTATGATCAAATTAAATATACCTAAAGTTATATGATTAATATGGAGAAAAGTAAAGCATATCCACAGCAAACAGCATGGTTAATGGTTAAATGTTAAAAGTAGTCTCATATTTGGCTCAGTGTTGCAGTGCCTGTCTGGCAAGCGTGAGGTCCTGAGTTCAATTCCTGGCACCCAAATAAATAAAGACATGAAAGAAGAGAGCAAAGCACAGCAGCTGGAAGGTTTTGCTTCAGAGTGAAGATGTTTTGGACAGAGAGCCTCACGCCACAGCTGGACCCTGAAGAGATGAAACAGAAGATGCACAAGGCTGTGATTTCCTCCATGCAGAACTTCCTTATCTACATAGCACTGCTGCAAGTCATGGCCCTGTGAGAACTCTGTTTTGAGGGATATTAGAGTATTTATTCTACTGAGCTCTATCCCCAGCCCTCTTATTCATCTTTTACAAAAGTCATCGGCTCCATTTGTCTTGAAGAAATTGGACAGTACATGAAGATAGGGCATCCTATGTAAACATACGATAGAATAACCTGGCTACAGTTTCTCCTGCCTATCTGCAAATGAATAGGCCCAGAACAGTGTAAGAGACTCTTTAATTGAATGGACATAAAAATTCTATTTGTCAAGAGCAAGTTGGGCTCTAGTAACTGACCCTTATAGCTAAAATATAAAACTATTGGAAGTATGAAAAAAAAATAGTCTCTTTGGAATCAGAAATGTGAGTAATGTACACAAATAGTTATATTAAACTATTAGCAGCTAAGTTAGAAACATAAATATATAAAATAAAATGAGGATTATAAAATAAGAAATGAATCTTTGTCATATGTAACGTTATACTTTAAAAATAAATCTTAAGGCAATTTTTTGAATTATGAGAACATGACAAGGCTGGTAGACAAAAGTCATGCAAAACATTGATTGCAACTTTATCTGATTAGAAATGTGTAATTCTGAATTATATCTAATAATGTAACAGCACTAATATGACAAGATATAATAAAAGTTGTATGGACAGTTGATTTTCTAATTAGAGGAAGTAAAATTTAGTCTTTTATCCCAACTATACTTGTACATGAATTCCAGGTGGACTAAATACTTCATAATTTAAAATCATCAGGACCCCAGTTTCAAAAGCCCAATCCAAAAATGGGCCTACACTTCTCTGATTAAGAAATACAAATGATAAATAAATATATGAAAAAAAATTTCAACATCATTGGTCATTTGAACAATGCACATTAAAATAACAGTGAGATTTTATCTCACCCTAGAAAGAACAGCGATCATCTAAGAACTCAAACAGGAGCAAATGCTGGTGGGGCCGTGGGGAATAAGGAATCTTCTCCACTCTTGGCAGGAGTACAGAGTGGTGCAATAACTGTGGAAATCAGTGTGGAGATTCCTGAAAAAAAAATCAGTGTGTGAGATTCCTATTAGTAAAAGTCCTGTTTAACCCAGTTATTCCCCTTCTGGGTATTTTTCCAGATGAATTGAAAACCTCATACCACAGCAATATATGTGCACGCATGTTTATAGCAGCGCAATTTGCCATAGATAAATTTTGGAAGCAACCCAAATGCCTATCAGCTGAGGAATGGATACAGAAGATGTGGTACTTTTATTTTTTTATTTATTTTTTTTTTACAGAAAAGTAAAGTGTATTTCTTTTTTTTTTAGAAGTACATATTTATTTATTTTTTTTCTTTTCAAAGTTTTATTGATAAACATATAGCAATGAGACAGTTTCAAATCAAATCGAAAGTACAGTTTCAACAAATAATACACTGCATACATTCTTCTCAGTGGTTAATTGCTGTACAAGATGCAGACTTGTGATCCTACTTACAAACACCATTAGAACAAATCATTCTATTCATTAAGAGAATGCAACTATATATCTATCCCAACCACTTTGAATACACAGATACAAAATGGACATTCATAGTTATACCCCAATTTTTTTTAAGTTCCGTTGTTGAATATTATAGGTGTGTAAACTCAGCCAAATATTCTAAAAGAGTACAGAAGCCCATAATATCATTGGGTCTTCTGTTTAACTGGCAATGTCAGAAATTATTGACCTGAGTCCCCCACAGCTCAACATAACAACATGGCTTTACTTCCTATATTTCATCTTCATACTTTTCTACTGGATGGTTAAGACCAAGGTAAAGCAGGACCTGTGCAACAAGAGTTGTAGCTTTTTGGTCTGACAAGGTCAGTGAAATGCCCTCAGGATTTATTTTGAGATCCTGTACCTCAGATTGTAGAACCTTTGTCAGTGTCAGCCATGTGGATGAGTCACGGCCAATGCTTGGCCTATGTACTCTCTGTGAAAGCCTGAGAGAGTGTCTTCTCCCCATGTGACTCTCCTTAGGCACACTCTACATCATCGATCACTTTCCTCTTTGGCCCCATTATCTTCTTGATCAGAAAATTTGGGACACTACCGAGGTACATGACGTTACAGTACAAGTTCTCATATGTCCTGAGTCTTAATTGACTTTAGAAGGGTAGGGCCAAAAGATGTGGTACTTTTACACAATGGAGCACTACTCAGCTATAAAGGAAAATAAACTTGAGGATTTTCTAGGTAAATGGATGCAACTAGACACCATACTCATAGGTGAAATAAATCAGACCCACACATGCAAGTATTGTATTGTCTCCCTAGTAGAACCTGAAAGAGTAAGATCTAAAAAGTACAATAAATATTGTGAAAGGGAAAGAAATCTCTCCAAAGGAAAGAATAATAGGGATGGGGTAAAGGAGAAAAGAAGAAAGGAAAAAATTATATATATTTATATCTTTAGGAATATGATCTACAATAGCAAACAACAGAAACAACTAAAAATGACTCTATTGTATAGATGATTTGGGGTATGTTTATACAGTGGAATTGTTTACCAGAATAAATGGATGAGTACCATATTCATTAACATGGATAAAATACACAAATATAATCTTGAACTCTACGAATATTAAGGTACAAAATAAATATTTTGTAATATCTTATGATTTTCTTTATATGCAGTATAAAACAATGCTGTAATAGATTAAAATTACTTTTTTCCAAAATATACACCACCTGTTATGCCTTTGCAAGGCTGGCATCATCTGCGAGATAAGAGCTGCCTTCTTCACCAAACAGTCTGGATGGTAACACTGGGAATAAAGCTTCCATCAACTTGCCACCAGCTTTGAACTATGTAGCACAGCAGGCAATAATTTCTTTTTGCAAATATTGATATTTACAAATTTTGGTGGAAGCCACCGTAATGAAAGCACTAACATATGCACTACTGGCCTGTGGCAGATTGTTGGGGAACAAGGGAATCCCACTTGTACAGTGGTAAGAAGTGAGAAATGAGACATTTAATGAAATTGCAGCTCCAGTAGTGTGAAAAGTGCGCAATATGTTCGAATAACCTTGTGATGTAGACTGTGGGATTCAGAAGAAAGAATGTTACTAGTATGTCTTGATTTATGTTGGCTGCATTTCACACAGTAGCACAAAGGACATGAAAATATGAAAGAATTGGTCAATCTGTAAGAAAAGATGAAATTAAAGAAAGAAAGTTGGAGACTTACAGGTTGGAAAATGTAACTTGCTCTAACATCCAAAGTAAGACTAAGAATATCTTTAAGTGACAAAAACTGATTAAAATTCTCCTCTATGAAGGCACTGACCAACCAAAAGATTTAGGGGAACCTTTGGTTGAGATAACTGTGATGAAACAGGTAAGTCTTTTCAGCTGCACAAAATGGCTCGAAGAGCCTAATGATGTAGCTCCCCATTCAAACTCTGGTAAATTCAAAACTATTTAAGTCGAGAGAAAGACTGGTGTGTCTTAAAAATTCTGGATATCACTACTGGCACAAAAACTAATGAAGTTGTTAAGAGAATTATAATGTCAAACAAGGCACTTAGATTTTAAGAGTCTGTCTGGCTTCAGTCTAAGAACAGGAAGCAAGAAAAATCTGAGCTCTCATGTAGAATTTTACATGCTTATCAGCAGATGAATGGAGAAAGAAAACGAGGTGCCTGTACATACCATGGAGTATTATTCAGCCATAAAGAGCAAAACCAATCATTTGCAGCAAATGGATGGAACTGGAGGATATTATGTTAAATCACACACGCACAAAAAAGATAAATCCAGGTGCAGAAAGACAAGTACCTCATGTTCATCATATGTGGAAGTTAAACAAAGTGAATCTGAAAATAGAGTAATAAATAATAGAGATTAGGAAGGGTGAGGCAGTGGGACAAAGGAGGTTGGATTTTATCAGCACACATACAGAATGTTACACTATATGCACATATAGAAGTTTATGTTGAATCCCATTAATATGTAAAATTAATACACATTCATGAAATAACAAAAATAGAAGAGAATACTTTTCATAAACCTCAGTTCTCAAGGGACTTATTCTCCTGCACCCCTTTACATGGAGCCCTTGATGATAAGTGAAGGAAAGGGAAGAACCACCACAGTGTGGAGTCAAAGGGTTAGTTACTGTCACCATGGATTGGGAGCGAAGCCCACAGCGCAGATTGGGCCTGCTCAACAGACTTTTCCTCTGCAGTAGAGGGTCCTCATGATGGTACAAGTGGGATTTTGAAATGTTATGCTTAGCATGCAGGTCTTAGTTTTAGTTCTTTGGCCTTCTAGTCATGAAAAGCTCCATCTACACCTGATGTGAAAGCCATCACAACAGCCTAGACCTGGAAACCAAAGCTATGATTGGACGCAATGTTTGAGTTACTATTTTCCTTGAGGACAGGGGAGCATACTAGTGTGTGGAAGGGTGGAGAAGTAATTTTGGTACCCAAAAGCACAGAATGTGATCAGTTTTATTTTGTTCCCCACTAACCACTGGTATTACTTAGAATCATTACCATTTCCTACACGTCACTGTTGTTTGGCCTGTGTCCTTTGTGTTTCTATGTATGCATACCTTCTTCATAGACAATTGGTCTGACCAATGAAACAATGGAATGGCTGCACACAGCTTTGCAGCAGTTTTCAGAGCTATCACATTGTCCCTCCATTGCTCTTTTTCTTTTCCAATGAGTCTGGAATGGGGCTATGTACTCCTCTAGCCTGGATCCTATAGTGAAGACATAAAGCAAGGGCAAAACTGACTCATAAAGACAAAGCAGCTGCACTTAATATGGAGTTGAAAAAAAATCAACATATCTTGCATAAGTTATCACTGTTCTGTAACTTAGAAAAAGTAAATTGATGGAGGCATATACAAAAGTGTGAGAATTTATAGGAAGGAATAGTTCATTTGAAACACATATTTTTAAAACAGCAGTTACCTTTAATGGCAATCAAGGAGAAACATATGGGTATTTCTTAAGTTCAGTGATATACATGAACGTTCATTTTTCCTTTCCTACACCTGAGATTATATTAGATGTGGTATGTGTGCACATGTAAATTTTATGTAAATATGCATACTCCACAGATGAATACACTT